AAAGCAACTCATGAGAGGCTAGAGGAAGCCCATGAGAAGCTTGGCAAGGCTCACAAGAAGCTTGAAAAAGCTCATTCTTCTTTGCTTAATGAACAAAATAAAAAGAAGCATGTTGAAACTTGTGATGTAGGCTTAACTTGTGATATAATTGAAGAATCATAATCTATGTCTATCATTGTTGCTCCCACTAACCCTTCTTGTAGCACTTCTACTTCCACCTCATCTAGTAGTGATGGTTTCACTTGTGATGTCTCACTAATGGTTGAGAATGAGACCCTCAAGAAGGAGGTCAATAAGCTCACTCACACTTTGGCTAAGGTCTATGGTGGTGAGGACCTCTTGCTTATGTGCTTGGGTAGCCAAAGAGCTTCTCTCTACAAAGAGGAATTGGGCTATATCCTCAAGAAAGGCAAGGCGGCCTTTGCTCTTCACAAGACTAGTTTTGTAAAGAACAATGGTCGGTTTTGCACTAGTTGCAAGTAAGTTGGTCATGTAGAGCAAAAGTGCATGAACAAGAAGTCACAAGCTAATGTATCCTCCATTAAGCTTGATTCTTTCTATGTACTTACCAAGGGTGTAAATGGTGTAAAGGCTAAGTTCATTGGTAAACTATGGATGGGCTCAAAGAAGAAAGCCATTTGGATACCAAAGAGCTTAGTGACTAACCTTCAAGGACCCAAGCAAGTTTGGGTACCTAAAAAGAATTGATCTTCTTTTGTATGTCAATTACAAAGTCGGAGGAAGGCATTAGGTTCTTGATAGTGGGTGCACTCAACACATGACCGGTGATGCAAGAATGTTCAACTCAATCAACACCAATGGCAATGATGGTTATGATAGTATCACATTTGGTGACAATGGCAAAGGCAAGGTCAAAGGACTTGGTAAGATTGCAATATCCAATAACATGAGCATATCCAATGTGTTGCTAGTTGAGAGCTTGAACTTCAATTTGCTATACGTGGCTCAATTGTGTGATCTTGTATTCAAATGCATATTTAGGGTAGATGATGTAGAGATCATAAGTGTAGATGACTCTAACTTAATCTTCAAAGGCTTTAGATACGAGAATCTATACATGGTTGATTTCAATGCTAGTGAAGCTAAATTATCTACATGTTTGTTCACTAAGTCTAGCATGGGTTGGTTATGGCATAGAAGGCTTGGTCATGTTCGAATGAAACAATTGAATAGATTAGTTAATCATAACTTGGTTAGAGGCTTGAAAGATGTTGTGTTTGAGAAGGATAAGCTTTGTAGCTCTTGTCAAGCCGACAAACAAGTTGGAAATACCCATCCTAAGAAAAGCATGATGAGCACTAGTAAATCATTTGAGTTATTGCACATAGATTTATTTGGGCCAACTCAATACACTAGCATTGGTGGTAACAAATATGGCTTTGTGATAGTGGGTGATTACACTAGATACACTTGGGTATTCTTTCTAGTGGACAAAAGTGATGTGTTTGCAACATTCAAATCATTTGTCAAGGGCATTCACAATGAGTTTTAAACAACCATCAAGAGAGTTAGAAGTGACAATGGTAGTGAGTTCAAGAACACTAGAATTGATGAGTTGTGTGATGAATTTGGAACTAGACATCAATTCTCAGCCAAGTACACTCCACAATCAAATGGCCTTGTTGAGAGAAAGAATAGAACACTCATTGATATGGCAAGGTCTATGCTTAGTGAGTACAATGTGAGTCAATCTTTTTGGGCCGAAGCTATCAACATGGCTTGCTATTATAGCAACCGCCTCTATTGTCACCCATTAAAAGAGAAGACACCATATGAGCTCTTGAATGGTAGAAAGCCCAACATTGTATATTTTTGGATTTTTGGTTGCAAATGTTATATCTTGAAGAAAGGCACTAGATTGGGTAAGTTTAACAAGAAATGTGATGAAGGATTCCTACTTGGATACTCAACCACTAGCAAAGCATATAGAGTTTGGAATTTGGATAGTGATACTCTTGAGGAAGTTCATGATGTTGAATTTGATGAAACCAAGAGTTCACAAGAAGAGAATGAGAACTTGGAAGATGTTAGAGGCATTCAACTTTCAAATGCCATGAAGAGCATGGATGTTGGTGAATTGAGGCCAAGGCAAGTAAATGATGATGAAGATGATCAAGTGCAAGTGCTCTCTAACTCAAATGTGCAAGATGATACAAATCAAGCTAGTACAAGTGGCTCTCATGATAATGAACAAGATCAAGTGGCTAGTACATCATCTCAACCCAATGATCAAGCAAGTGCAAGCAATCAAGTTCCAATGCTCCAACAAACCAATATTGCAAGGGATCATCCATTGGACACTATAATTGGTGATATTTCTAGAGGTGTACAAACTAGATCAAGATTGGCTTCATTTTGTGAGCATTTCTCATTTGTGTCATCCATTGAACAAAAGAAGATGAAGCATTGAAGGATGTTGATTGGGTGAATGCTATGCATGAAGAATTGAATAACTTCACAAGAAATCAAGTATGAGAATTAGTAGAGAGACCAAAGGGACATAATGTGATTGAAACCAAATGAGTCTTTAGAAACAAGCAAGATCAAGATGGGATAGTAGTAAGGAACAAAGCAAGATCGGTAGCACAAGGATATACTCAAGTTGAAGGTCTTGACTTTGGAGAAACATATGCCCCAGTTGCTAGATTGGAAGCAATTAGAATCTTGCTAGCCTATGCTTGTGCCCACAACATCAAGCTCTATCAAATGGATGTCAAGAGTGCATTTCTCAATGGTTACATCAATGAAGAAGTATATGTTGAGCAACCTCCCGGTTTTGAAGATGACAAGAAGCCCGACCATGTGTATAAATTGAAGAAGGCATTGTATGGCTTGAAGCAAGCACCTAGAGCATGGTATGAGAGATTGAGGGACTTCCTACTCTCTAAAGGGTTCATGATAGGCAAAGTTGACACCACTCTTTTCATCAAGAAGATTGGAAAAGATTTATTTGTGTTGCAAATCTATGTTGATGACATCATATTTAGATCAACCAATCAAGACTTTTGTGATGAGTTTGGAAAGATGATGGCTAATGAGTTTGAGATGTCCCTGATTGGAGAGTTGAGTTACTTCCTTGGTCTTCAAATCAAGCAATTGAAGAATGGTACATTTGTAAGTCAAGGCAAGTATATCAAGGACATGATCAAGAAGTTTGGCATGAGTGATAGCAAAGCCATTAGCACACCAATGAGAACAAATGGCAACTTAGATAGTGATGCAAGTGGCAATATGGTGGATCAAAAATTGTATCGGTCTATGATTGGAAGCCTACTCTATGTGACCGCATCAAGGCCGGATGTCATGTTTAGTGTATGCATGTGTGCAAGATTTCAAGCCTCGCCAAGAGAAAGTCATTTGAAGGCTACAAAGAGAATATTGAGGTACTTGAAGCATACATAAAATGCTGGTTTGTGATATCCCAAAGGAGCAAAGTTTGAGCTAGTTGGTTACTCCTACTCGGATTATGCGGGATGCAAGGTTGAAAGGAAGAGCACCTCGGGAACATGTCAATTGTTGGGAAGATCACTTGTTTCATGGTCATCAAAGAAGCAAAATAGTGTTGCATTATTAACCGCCGAAACCGAATACATATCTGCCGGTAGTTGTTGTGCACAAATACTTTGGATGAAGGCCACTTTGAGTGACTTTGGAATCAAGTTCAAGAAAGTGTCATTGCTATGTGACAATGAAAGCGCAATCAAGTTGACCAACAATCTGGTTCAACATGCAAGAACAAAGCACATTGATGTCCGGCACCATTTCATAAGAGATCACCAACAAAAAGGGGACATTTGCATAAAGAGTGTAGGCACCGAAGATCAACTTGCCGATATATTCACCAAGCCATTGAATGAGAAAAAGGTTTTGCAAGCTAAGAAATGAGTTGAATATATTGGATTTCTCAAATATGTGTTGATGCACCCCCCCACTTATATGGCATGCCTCTTCTTTGAGCAATCCAAGGTAAAAGTTGATTGGCATGGCATACATCCTTGCTAAGAACTGCATCTAGACATCTTTCACTTTTAATAGGCTCATTCATGAAAATCAAATAAATTTGATGATTATATGGTACCACTATTGCTTCTATGCTTATTTTAATCTAGTGGTAGCAAATGACATGTTTGTGGGCTTGTAAACCTAGTGTTTGATCTAGAAAATGAGCTCTAAGTGTTTAACTCAACATGGTGCAAGATAACCCTTATTTGGAGGTGCGAAGAAGCTTGCCCTTGGATCAAACCGAGTTAAATGTCTTTGGCAAGTATTCTAGATTGAACCAAATTTAGGAAAATGATCCTCACCCCATTGATTGACATTGATAATCCTAACCTATCTATAATTTAAGCCTTTGTGGTCATTGATGACAAAGGGGAAGAAAAATAAAGATATTAGTAATATTAGTACTATGGGAACTATGGGGGAGAAAAACAAAGATATTAGTGTACTAAGATAGTGAAAAGACGACAAAGGGGGAGAGAAACAAAGATATAAGTGATAGGAGGAAATTTAACATAGGGGGAGAGATATGACAAAAGAAAAGGATCAATTAAAATTTTGAGCACACAAGTAAGGGTAGAGATATGACCAAACATAATTTTATTAAATGCGGCTTTTCTGCGCACAAAAACCAGACACGAAAACACTACATATATTTATGCTGGTTTGGATTATACTACATAAGGTGTCTAATGCAGGCTAAGACTAATGCAAAACAAGTAATGAGACTCATGCATGTTCAAGATAATAGGATGTCTAGCACACGAATTTTATGTATCCTGATTAAGATGGAATCTACGTGAGATTCATTCATGCCACCACAATTAGGTGAAGGATAAAACATATAATTACAGCATTAACGAGGTCCACCCAACATCTTAACTCTAAATCTTGTCTGAACTACACCGAAAAAAACTAAAAACGTACTAGTAGGAACAAAGAGACCATGCGATGCGACACATCGATTTGGAACCATTTTATTAGAAGCAGCAGGACAAGAAGACGACGGCAGCACCAAGCAACACCAGAAGCAGGCTGCCAACGGCGGAAGATATCGATGCGGACGTGGCGTCGTTAATCTGCGAGGAGCCGACGGCCACAGGCAGCTCATCGTCGGCGGGGAGCGAGCAGGTGGGCGGGTGGCCCGCGCCGGCCTCGTCGGCCGCCATGAGCGCCTGGATGACCGCCGTGGCCGCCTCGCGGTGGCGCGTGGCGTTCCGATTCAGCAGCCACGTCAGGCCCATGAGGTGGCAGTCCTCGCGCTGCTCCTGCTTGGCCTTCGCCGACGCCGACGACGTGGCGTTGCTCCTCCCACCCAGCTGCAGCCCAGGAAACCAAGTACAAGGACTCAGTAAGAAATTCACAGCGACTTTTTTTTTTCTTCTTTACATTACGAAAGGACCGAGATTCCTGTGGAGGTAAAAGGACACGAGAGTGGACGGGCCATCCGGCCATGGCAATGGCGGTCCAGTCCTCGTGCCCTCGCTCTCGGAACAGTTGGCGCACGCGGCATGATGTCACTGGCATCACACACTGCTTCTTTCTTGGGAACTCTGAAACCTCACGTGATGTGACCACGCATCGTGACGGTGCGTCCATGCGGCAACATCGTACGCCGTCCCTCCCTAAATATTTGTAGCACGGTTTGCATGCTAACAATTTGACTTGATTTATATAAAATACGTGTAATATTTCTATCTCAAAATAAATTTATTAAAAACTAGATTAAAATATCTATCCAATGATACTAATTATGTATCATAAATATTAATATTTTTTTAATATATATTTAGTCAAAGTTGTTTCTCAGAAAGCGAAAACGACCGATATTTAGGGACGGAGGGAGTAATAAGTAAAAACAAGGCAGCAGATCATTTCGCATGAGATGGGCTTGACATCTTTGTCGTCCTTCACGGTCGTAAAGCTCACGGTCAGATTAGTAGCAAAGCAGATGATTCGGTCCAGTCCCGAGGGGTTAATGGAGGCTCTGTGACCGTGATGCTTTTTAGGTGAAAAAAAAAAGCAGTCGAAAGGAAAGGAGCATCTCGAGTCCAGACGCTGAATGGTAAAGGCAACGGCCAAAGTGAAACTGAGAATAAAGGTCCCGGCATGGTGTTTCTGGAGCAGATCATGCTCCAGGCCCTACACATCCTTGAGCCCCGGATTTCTCGCTACAAATCTCATCATTCGAGGGCACTTCAGTTAGGCAATTCACGTGCAGCTGCTACTGTGATCTACTCTGTGAACATACTCTAGTAACTACTAGCATGCAGTTACTCTTTATCTATTCCATTTCACACAGTGCAAGTCTGCCGATTATATACTAGTATAAAGTAACAGGCATCTGTCAGTGGGTAAAGCTTATTCTTTGATGCCAAAACCCCTCTATTCCAAATTATAAGAGATATATTTTTTTTGTTATGTACTTAGATATACACTATACACTATGTCCAAATAAATAGTAGAAATAATATATATAGAAAAGTAGAATGATGGAGTATATAAGATTTTGCTTGAAGCTTTCATCGCTAAAACTTTTCCTTTCTTTTTGATAGAGCCTCTACTGCCAGTTAGGACTAGCATTGATCAGGTTGCCACATATGTCAGACCCAGATGTTGGATTCTACTAGGCACACCTGAACTTTCTCTTACTCTTTCGTGTTCTTATGTAGTCGCGTGTATGCGGTGGAGGAAAACAACATTCGAGTGTTTCTATGGCCTCTGCCACCTAACCTTTGTTCATATGTACCACTAGTATAATCACCTTATACAAGATTTAGATTGTAGTCGTGATACATAGAGTCATATATCCCGATTTTTGGGTGTAATTTCTATGTACAGATGGTGTAACTAAAATTCCAGATATCAACCCCCCCCCCCCCCCCCCCTAAAATATTTTTAAATTTTTGCAACACTTTATTGGTCGTGTTTGGATTCCATGGTCTAAACTTTAGACTAGTTTAATTCTTAGTGATCTAAACTGGAGATTTAATGTGTTATATAAAATTTAGCCAACCTCACAAAAAACTTTACACCACACAAGTAAGCTAAAGCATGCAAGCAGAGAAAATTTCAGGTGCTAGGCAAAATAAAAATACTCAAATATTGATGAGTGCACAGCTAAAGGACAATAGAAGGCAATTAAAACTGTTAGAGCAGCTAGCAGCCTGTTCGGCTGGGCTTATACGATCGTGGATTATAAGTTAGAACAGTATTTTTCTCTCATACCAAACCAGCCAGCAGTAAATAATCCACGATCGTTTCAGCCAAAACGAACAGGCCGTAGAACATTCCCCTGCTAGCTAGTACATGAGAAGCATCAGCTGCTCACAATGAAACTTTTTTCATAATGTTCAATCTGTACCCAGCCAGCAGTAAATAATCCACGATCGTTTCAACCGAAACGAACAGGCTGTAGAACATTCCCCTGCTAGCTAGTACATGAGAAGCATCAGCTGCTCACAATGAAACTTTTTTCATAATGTTCAATCTGTACTTGGTTCAGAAACACAATAAACTCTTTCTGACTTGCAGAAACAAATTCTCCTGGAGACTTACAGTTACAGTACACAGCTTACTAGGGGGTGGGGTACTCTGTTTTATTACTTACCATTCTACTAATATGTTGGTACTGGAGATCTTGTGAACTCTTCATGGCATTTTCCCCGTATTTTGTTTGGTATCAATAAATACTGGGACCGCCTATTTGTCGATTGTCACGGATATACATTCCACATTAGCTTTTTATATCTTCCAAGATATTGAAAGCTACAGGTTTGTCATGCTTCTCAAGTAAGGGTTCATACAACATGTCATGCAAAATACCTGGATCTACCAAGTTACATGGTCACATTTATTTTCCTCAAGATTCCTCTGAATGTCTAGATAGGAGAATGCAATATACTAATGTAATGGAGAAGCCACTTCTGATAGTTTAGTTTAGGATAGTACATAAGCATACCATGAACAGAAGATGCCATCAAAATATATTTTAAAACATATTGGATGCGATACTATACTATTTTTTGCCGTTTTATATAGAGCTTAAAACAGTGGTTAAAAGGTTCACACATTGACAGCTAAAGACCATAAAAACATATTCTTCATGAGCAATTCCATTTATTTCCAATTCAACATTTTAAGTAGATGCAAATTCAATGAGCAATTCCAATTCAGCATATTCCCCATTAGAAAAGGATGGTAAGTTGGCAAGCGCACATTCCAATGCAGCAGACAAGAAGCATCAAGGGAAAAAGAAAAGAAAGTTCTTGTGTGTCTCACCTTGTTGAGCGCCCGGAGGCACCTGGAGCAGCCGGCGAGCCCCGGAAGCGCGCAGTCCCTCTCCAATCTCCTCGCCATCCTGCCCTGCGGCGCCGCGCACGCAGGCCGCCGCAGCCTCACCCCGCAGTAGCAGAACGCCACGTCGCACGCCGCCGTCCCGTTGCCAGTGCTGGTGCTCCGGCCCCCATGCGGCCGCGGGAGCGCCGCCCCGGCCGCCCGCAGCGCACGGTCCGTCGCGCCCGCGCACTCCTCCGCGTCGTCTGGCAGCACTGGCATGTCCACCACGGCGGCGGCCTCCGCCGACGCGGCCACTGACGCTTCTCCGATACCGCGGCCCGAGAGCGCGGTGGGCGCGTACGCAGCGTACAGCCACGCGGCGAGCGCCGGGCAGCATCTTAGCCGCGGCGGGAGCGCCCCCTTGCTCCCGCCGGCATTGGCGTTGCAGGATGCTAGGACAGCGGGAAGGAGCGGAGGCGACGGGGTGAGCTGGCAGACGGAGGTGGCAGCGGCCGCAGCGGCCTCTGACTGCTCCGGGAAGGCCGGGATTGTGGAGGCGCCCCCGGCTGACTGGGGCTGCGTTGGCGAGGTGGTGGCACCCGCGGACGGGAAAAGCAGCGACGGCTCGAGCGACGCTGGGTCGGGCAATGCCGGCCACGCCGCGGTCAGCTGCAGGAGGCGGGTGCTGATGGTGAGCAGCACCAGCACGGCGGTGTAGCGGTGGATGCCCGGCATCGTTGGTTCCTGATTTGCAGGCGTAGGAGAGAAGGTTCGGCTGCTCAGGCGACTGAGAATGGAGACAGAATCTAGCACTCCAAGACTGAGATGAAACGTTCCAGTCGAATACGTTTGGGGACTTTTTGTGTGGTGGAGTGCTGCTTGGCCTCAGAAGAGAAGCAGCTTGCTGCTTGCTTGCATGCCAAACAACATGTCTGACAGTCTTCGCTATTTTCCTGAGCTAGCTTAACAGCTCAAGTGAATGCCCGAAATGCCCTTGCCTGTTAATCATCCATGAACTGAAACATGAACATCATCCTGGTTCCAATGATTATATCTATTAAATTTTACCCTTTGATGTCTAAATTTCTCTAGCTAAGTAGTGTATATGCAAGTATTGTTAGAGTAAATAGGCTTGGCCCATACAAGTATTCCGGTTATTCTAAATAAATAATAAAAACTCATTTATATGTAGTGTTATCCTAAACGTTAATTCGTAAACAGCCGGTCACAAGTAGAGGACGAGTGCGGAACGGGGAATTCGTGACAGCCCGTCATCAACTTCGTGCAGCACGAAATCTTGCCCCGGACCATGATGAGGCCGATAAAGTGCCTAGGAAGGCGAGATCCTATGTCAAGGTGGATGATGAAATACACTGCAAGAGCACAACTAGGATCCTTCAGTGGTGTATACCCATCGAAGACGGGATAAAATTTTTATGAAATATCCATTCGGGAGCATGCAGACATCACGTGGCACTAAATACTTTGGTGGGAAAGGCCTTTCGGCAAGGATTTTACTGGCCGACTGCAATCAAAGACGCCCAACAAATTGTTTGAACCTGTGAGGGGTGCCAACTTTTTGCCAAACAGAAGTATGTTCCATCTCAGGAACTTTAGACTATTCCAATCACATGACCCTTCGCCATATGGGGACTTGATTTAGTTGGAAAACTCTTGAACGCACCAGGAAACTTTGACCATCTATTCGTAGCCATCGAAAAAATCACCAAGCGGATCGAAGCCAAGCCGGTAACGATGGTCACGGCCGGTAAGGCCACTAAATTTATTCAGAAGATCATAAACCGTTACGGGTCACGAATACAATCATCACTAACAATGCTCTCTGGACTATCACTCTTATGAGCACTCCGGTGCTCACAAATGTTTCCCACACCTTTCTAGACTTACTACTGATGGCCGTTTTAGCTTTCTGTAGGCGGCATTCCAACCACCTCGGTCAAAAGATCTGCAAAAATTGAAAACTTCCCAGGCGGTCAAATAGTCCGCCTAGGTAAATGCTACTACTGAGACGTGCACGGTGCAACGCTTGCCTGCATAAATGCCTACTGCCGAGGTGGGCACGATACAACTCCCGCCTACGTAAATCGATTAAAAAAATAAAAAGGTCCAGGTCCTAGAGCCAACGTAACTCTAGCTTCTGGAGTCGCCATCGCCGGGCCGTCCGTCCACCATTCGTGCTAGCTCTCATCACCATCGCCAAGGCTGGCCGACCGCGCGCCACTGTCCGTCGGTTCACCGCTGCCGTCATCCATGCTGGCTCCAAATCTGCAAAGGGGGATAGGGAGAGCTATACCTACCCCACCGGCGCCACCGACGATGACCTCCACCGGATCCGACCGCCCTCCACCGGATCCGCCCGCTCTCCACCGGATCTAGCCACGTCCTCCACTGAATTGGGCCCATGGCCACCGGATCTGTGTGTAGGCATCTGTCTCCTCGCCTCTACGCTAGAGAGGGAAGCGTGTCGTGGTCCTTGTCACCTCCACGTGTCGCCACCGAGGAGGAACCCTACGCCGCCAGCTCGCGCTCCTCCAGGATCCGCCCCGCGCTACTAGCCCGTGCTCCGCACCGCCGCGACAAGCCGCCCGCGTGCCTGCTCCTCCATGCCGGCTCCTGTGCTGCTGCGTGTGCTGAGAGAGAGGGAGGCATGAGAGAAAGGGACGTGTGTGGCGCTGCTGCTCCTGCGTGTGGTAAGAGATAGGGAGGCATGCGGCGCTGCTACTCTTGCGTTGGTGAGAGAGAGGGAGGCGTGCGGCTGAGCAGAGGGAGAGCTGAGTGCCGGTTCAAAACCCTAGCTCTGTTTTATATATGTGTTAGTCATATTGGGCCTGGTGGTGGGCTTTAGGTCTATTTCAAGAGGTGGGCCTCCAAAAATGGGCTAATTTTCGGAGGCAGGCCTAGGATGTTGTTGACGGTAGTGAACAACCATTATAAACCATCAATATAACATGCATAAGGGCATAAATAAATCTCCAATAAAGGTCTAGGGGTTTAAACTAACAAATTCCATGAGTTTTGGTGAATCTGTATTTTCTGTAGGGTTTATCCAGAAATCCGTCAAGGTGGACCTAGATGTCAGACTTAATCATGCTTATCCACAGCAAAAATGACCCCAGAAGGTTCCAGAAGACTCAAGAGGACTCCACACCGAAGCGGAGGGTGAGGCGCACATGTCAGCCCCGCGTTGCTATGTCGGTTCTCTATCGCCTCCTAGATTGCATCTACGCCGTTTATTCAAGTCGGTTTGATCCGAGGGCTCAGGATTGACGCTCCGGCCTATATATACCAGCCCCTACCCCCTCCCTCAGGCATTACATTCAAGTCAATTGGGAAGACAAAAACCCTAATCATCCTCAGAGCTCCACCATATTCTAGGGTATAGCTAGTTAGGCTAGGTCTAGAGGGAGGCAAGTAGGCTTCGCTTAGATTTCTGATCGTGTCAAAAGCGTAGTTTGGTATAATCTTTATACCCCTCTCTTTTGTATCTCTCATTACTTTTATATGTTTGCTATAATTGTTATGACAACATTATTCATATCATTTATGTTCCTAGTTATCATGTTCATGGTCTATTTTGATTATATACTTAGTATAGCTAGATTATCCTTATATTTATGCATAAGTTCGTATAACGCTCACTCTAAGGTACCATGGGTGAGTGGTCAACATTGTGTAAGCGTGGTGCTTATACGTTGTTTACCTGTGGATACACCCTATATTTCAGATCATGTGGTAGATCGCGGATGTGACACTCATGTTGAGTCCTTTGTAGTCCACTCCCCAAATATAGGTATACAAGTAGGATCTAGTTATGAAGAAAGATAAGCTCTATTCTTAATCTTCCTTAGTAATATCCCTTGTGTGTAGATATAAAGTTGATCTTAGTTATAACTACTAGGTGTAGTTGCACTAATCAATGTATGCTTTGACTTATAATTAAGAATGACTTAGATGTTATCCCTCTAATATTCTACTTGACCATGCTAATACCATAGAAAGGAGTACTCTAAGTAATTAAAGATTAGTTATTATGCACTATTCATATATACATTTACCTCTTGACTTACCCTTGTTGTGAGTAGAATATTGGTTATGGATTACTTCTTCATCAATAGTATAAGTTATCAATATTTGTCCACGTTAGACCTTCCCTATAGTAAAAATATAAATAACGATACTTGGAATACTCTCGGGTGAAGTGCTACAATGGTATATTATCTGTGCGCTTACAGATCCCTTTCATTCATATATATCTTTATATTCTTCCTAGTCACATAAAACAATAAAGAACTACTTTCGTAGTAATACTAGGTAGTACCAACAAGCATCTCTAGCATCATCACTAGGGATGACAACCTGGTAAAGTAATATTAAGAGATGTACACATATATTAGGTGGCTACTAAAATAAGTGACAAGTTAATAAATACCAACAAGCATTTTCTGGCGCCATTGCCGTGGAAGGTTGCTAGGCAAGAAGGAAATATTAATAACTTTTTACTTATTGATGTGGTCAAAAAACCATTCACCCTGCTCAAGCAGGAATACCCTTGTTTTGTTTACTTTTATATCTTATGCAGGGTAATGTATAACCGGTTTTGACCTTCCGACAAACTATATTGAAGATCCAGAAGCATTAATCAGGAGAACTAGAGCCAAACTTAAGAAAGTCTCAGCTTTAGAGTCGGAAGACAACCAGATAAGGCGAAGCTTAAGACCAGAATTTGAAGCTATGGCTTATAAGACTCTCCATGAATTCTCTGCTCTAACTACAGCCAACATTCGTACTGGACCAACAGTCAATGTTGGGGACAATGGATTCGAACTCAAGCCAGCTCTCATTAATATGGTGCAAGCAAACCAGTTCTGTGGAAAGGTACATGAAGATGCGAGTGCACATCTCCAACACTTTCTGGAGATCTACAACACTTTCACCATCAAAGGAGTGACCAGATACACCATACTGCTTCGCCTCTTCCCATTCTCACTTTTGGGGAAGGTGAAGCAATGATTCTACGCTAACAAAGATAGAAACACTACATGGGATAACTGCTCCACTACTTTCCTAGCCAAGTTCTTTCCCACAGGCAAGACCAATGCTCTACGTGGAAGAATCTCAAGCTTTCAACAGCAACATGATAAATCTGTTCCTAAGGCATGGGAATGCTTTCAAGACTACATAGCAGAATGTCCTCATCATGGGATGGAGAATTGGCTACTCATATAGACTTTCTATCATGGGCTGACCAACAGTACCCATGAGACTATGGATGCTGCTGCTAGAGGTGCATTCCTGTCACTCACCATACTAGCTGCAACAACTCTTTGTGAAGAAGATGGCCTTCAACCAAGGTTGGAATGAAGAACGTCTTCAGACCCGCAAGAGAGGTGGAGGTATGCATCAACTCAATGAAGTAGATATGTTGTTTGCCAAGATGGACCTGCTGATGAAGAAGCTTGAAGATCGAGCCAATGAGAAGCAAGAAGTCATGCACATTCATGATTCCCGCATGACATGTGAAGAGTGTGGAAACACTGGGCATTCAAGGAACAACTGTCCTGAAACCCATGAGGATGTGAACTTCGTCAACAACAACTACTTTCGTCCTCAACAAAATAAAGGATGGAATCAGCAACAAAGGCCAAACTACCAAGGTAATTACCAAGGTAACCCTCAAAGTAATAATTTTAATCAACCAACCTTAAGAGAATTAA